ACTACTACTACTACTACTACTGCTGCTACTACTACTACTACTACTACTACTACTGCTGCTACTACTTACTACTACTACTACTACTGCTGCTACTACTACTACTACTACTACTACTACTACTGCTGCTACTACTACTACTACTACTACTACTACTACTACTACTGCTGCTACTACTACTACTGCTACTACTACTGCTACTACTACTACTACTACTACTACTACTACTACTACTACTACTACTGCTACTGCTACTACTACTACTACTACTAGCTACTACTACTACTGCTACTTACTGCTACTACTACTACTACTACTACTACTGCTACTGGCTACTACTGCTACTACTGCTACTGCTACTACTACTACTACTACTACTACTACTACTACTACTACTTACTGCTACTACTACTGAACTACAGTACTCTACTACTACCGCTACACTACTACTTCTAGTAAAACTGTGACTGACCTTTGGGGCAGAGGAGCCAGTTGAAGGTCTTGGACACTTCTGTTCCTTCAGCCTGAGGAGGAGAAAAACATGGATTTTATCATAAATATGTTGTACTTTTTAATTTAATTTTTTTTTTCTTCGTACTTTGACCCGGAGCGTCCTCGTCACCACGTCCTTGCGTCCTCGCTCGGGGAGGCTCTGGACCTCGTTATCACACGGGACGTCAGAAGAAACCGCCTCTGCTGTCACCGTAACGTTTACCTCACCTGAAACACACAGAACCAGAACTAAACCAGGACTGAACCAGGACTAAACCAGGACTAAACCAGAACTAAACCAGAACTAAACCAGGACTAAACCAGAACTAAACCAGGACTAAACCAGAACTAAACCAGGACTAAACCAGGAACTAAACCAGAACTAAACCAGGACTAGACCAGAAACTAAACCAGAAACTAGACCAGACTAAACCAGGACTAAACCAGAACTAAACCAGGACTAAACCAGAACTAAACCAGGACTAAACCAGAACTAAACCAGGACTAAACCAGGACTGAACCAGGACTGAACCAGGACTGAACCAGGACTGAACCAGGACTGAAACCAGGACTAAACCAGGACTGAACTAAGACAAGTCGGGTCTATGGAGAGGCGAGTCCGCTCACACATGATTTTCATGGGACGTTTCACCAATAAAAACTCCTGAACTGTCCTGTTACTTATGTGACATGTTCCACAGTGTGGCTTTAAAGCCCCACTGTGTCATTTTATTTATTTATTTATTTATTTTTGGTTGAGCTTCTAAAAACATTTGTCCTGCTGCTGCTACTACTACTACTACTACTACTACTACTACTACTACTACAACTACTACTACAACTACTACTACTACTACAATAACTACTACTGCCTATATGCGGGCTTGCATCTCCACAAACTTGACCCGTACTGGGCCTTGGTCTGCTTGTCTCCATGGAAACTGTTGTCTGGTTTTATGTTTGTGTTTCCGTGGGCTGACACAGTGAGCGCCTCCAGAAGGTTCCGCAGTGTGTCTTTACTGTGGTGTTGCCGTGTTACCGAGGGAGGAGGCGAGCAGGATCCAGCTCAGGGTCTTGCGCTCGTTGCCGCAGAGACACGACCTGTACTGGTCTGAGGACAGAGGCGTGAGGGTGAAGCCAGCAGAGGGCGCCGCCTGCACGTCCATCTGAAGAACAGAGAACACAGGTCACACTGCACCTGTGCCCACGAGCAAGACACTCACATGACACTGGGACAACTGTGACCACAACGACTGAACCAGGACTAAAACAGGACTAAAACAGGACTGAACCAGGACTAAACCATAGTTATGGTTATATCTGAAACTGAACCTCAGTGTACTACTACAACTTTTCCTACCAACATGACTACTACTACTACTACTACTACTACTACTACTACTACTACTACTACTACTCAGTGGTGGAGCGTGCATTTCACAGCTAGGTCTTCAGTAGTGCTCCGTCTGAAACAATCCACTAATCAATAACTATTTTATTGTTATAAAAGCATCTTATTCTAAACAAATACAGTATAAAGACCCGTGGAGGTTCTGTGCACAGAGAAGTGAGGAGCGCTGGAGCTAAACCAGGACTAAACCAGGACTGTTTATCGGGACTGGACCGAAGGTGCGCCCGCGTAGACTGTCGGGTGACCACAGACAAAAGGACCACGCTGGGTCCCTGGCGGCCGCACGGGGCTCAGTGCAGCTGTCGCCCGATCGCGCTTTGCGGACACTCTCTCACTCTCACTCGCTCTCTCTCACTCAAGTCCAAGATTAGTCCTGGTGTAGTTCTGGTTTAGACCTGTTTAGTCCTGGTTCCGCTACAGATGCAGTTTACTGCTTCGGCTGGTTCGCTCTCTGACTGTCCAATCAGCGGCTCTGAATCTGGTGACGTCGTTCGCTGCTAAAGGCCCCGGCGACACCAACTCAAAATCTGATTGGTTGAAGCAACAGTTTCATGGACATTTATTTTGTGTTCGAGTTCCTGTAGAACGGATTGTGAAGGCGTCAGGTGAACTTCTTTGACTTTGACTCTGCCTAGCAACAAGTAACGGCTGAAATCTCATTGGTCAAATGCATTAATATAAAAATCCATGTGTGGAAGCAGCACAAGCATCGGAAAAACTCTGAAAGTAAGAGGACAGACCATTTGGAATTATTTAACCCTGGAGAACCCAAGAACCCTTTTCTTCTTTGGAAAATTATGAACTATGCATTAATTGACTGCTTTGAGTCCACTGAACACCAAAATATCAACTTTTTCAATTTTAACCCTTTATTCCCTGATTTAGGATTAGGGTCAAATTTGACCCATTGGGTTTTAGGCGTATCATTTCAAAGAATAACAATAGGAAACACGGTTAATGTTGATCACCGCAATAGACAAGAAATGCCAGAAAAGTATCATATACCAAGGATGGGTCTGAATGGGAAATTTACAGTGTTCAAGATGCACATCCAGCATGTCAACTCCTCTCATGGAATCATTGTACTCCTGGATGTTCAGCTGATCTGGTCTGGTTTGTCATGGCATCCTGGTACGACTCAACCTGTTCACCTTGAAAGCTCATGTCAGGCAGCTCAGTCTTTCTTTCACCACCTGTAAGTTTTTGTGGCACAATTTGGCTCCATCTGTGAGCTAGCAGTCTCGGCAAACGGCACATCCTCATCATTGGACGACTCATTGTCTTGGGCAGAAGATTCACCATCATCACTTTCTTGTGGTTGAAACAATTCATCAGAATCGCTATTGCTGTCCAATCCAGGGCCAAAGTCTCTATCATTAGCTTCAAATTGCTCTAATACTTGTCTTACAGTGAACTTTCTCTGTTCCTTTCCCTGTTCTGAAAAGGGAGTGACCATATTCCCTGAAAAGATAATAGGTATTTACTTTATTAGTCTCTGGTCCTGTACCATCTACTTAACTTAGTAAAAAATGCCCACAGGCACTTGGTATTGAATGAAATTAATCAATAGAATACAGACCCCTTTATAAAATAATGTATTTACATGCATGGCTATAGGCCTCTATATATACAGTAGCTGATACATTATTTATACTATTTATATATACTATTATATTATTTATATACTCTATTTATATATATTATCATACATTTTTCAAATTGTTACATTATATTCTACAAATGAATTTAATTCAAGGCTTTAGTCAAATACAGGACTGTCACCATTCTCTATTTACAAAGTCCAAGACTTTGTAGTCTTAGACCAGAGGGTCATTTTTGACCCGTAGTTTTTTTCACCCGTACACCCAGAGGGCAATTTTTGACCCATCGTTTTTTGGACAAGCTCAGAGTTGCTAATTTAACCAAAAAGAATATAAAAAACTACTTCTAGGCATTCTGCAGGCAAATACTAAATAAATTAAACAAAACACAATTTTACCTACTGCTGGCTTGCTGAGAAGACAATTTTGTTTGGGGAGGTTTCCAGCTCAAAAAAACACCATTTGGTCAGCCATCTTGTCACTACCACTCTGGCTCATGTCAGTTCAATATTTATCCACTAGGTGTCTCTATGCAGAGGCCAGAAGTGGCACTCTGAGCTTTTGAGGTTAAATTTGAAAATTTTTTGTTTGTTTGTTCATTTTGGGTAGCAGCAATCAACAGCGGTCGAATTTGACCCCGTGGGTTCTCCAGGGTTAATAATAATAAAATTAACATCAGTGTGAATCAGATATTTTTTTAGGCCAAAAGAGAAGGACTTGCAGGCCCTGGCGCTCCACCACTACTGCTACTACTGCTACTACTGCTACTACTGCTACTACTGCTACTACTGCTACTACTGCTACTACTGCTACTTACTACTACTACTTACTACTACTTACTACTACTACTACTACTACTCGTGCTGTACCATGATGCAGGACTGGAGGTAGTTGAAGACCGTGGCCTTCAGGATGAAGCTCTCTCCTCGGATGATGGAATAGGGCAGGACCTGCTCCAGGAAGAAGGGCTGGAACACGGTGAGCTGCTGCCGGGCTGCCAGTCCGATTCCCTGATCCGAGGACAGGCAGAAGGCGTCCGTCTCCCAGGACGTGATCGTGTCTGGGACGGAGACGGACAGAGACGCCTGGCCCGAGGGTCTGGAGGATCACCACCAGGGTTAAACCAGGACTAAACCAGGACTAAACCACAGCTAGACTAGGATTAAACCAGGGACCAGGACTAAACCAGGAATAAACCAGGACTAAAACCAGGATTAATCCAGGATTAAAATAAAACCAACACTAAACTAGGACTAAGCGAGGAGTGTGCAGACTCACCCCACTTCCACAAGGTCCCAGATCCAGGTCTCGGGGAAGAAGGTCCGGACCGTGACAATGGGAGGAGGCAATTTAAGCATTTCCATCCACTCAAATTTGTAATCTGAAACAAATTAGGATTGAACTAAAACTGAACCAGGACTGAACCAGGACTGAACCAGGTCTAAACCAGGACTGAACCAGGACTGAAACACGATTAAACCAGAACTAAACCAGGGCTG